AAAAAAAAAACGAGGGAAAAATAATTTTCGGTCTTCACCCGTATCTCATCGTTTGTTGCGTTCAAGCGGCTGTTTTGGTCAAATGAGAAATTACTTAATTTGTATAAACAGACATCTGACCAGACAACATCTAGAAATAACAAAAAATGATTTCTTATCCCGTTTTCAGTATATTCTAATTCAAATTCTACATATTCTATATTCTATTTCTCTCTACATATACTGTACACGTGTGTGTGTGCACATTCATACACAGTCTGATATCAGTGCGTACATACACAGAAAACATTCCTCGGCATTCACGATATTATTATAAAGTATATTATTATAACAACATAAAATGTCTTGGAATTTTATCCCGTTCTGGAGAGAAATAAGCGGGACAGGTCTGGCATGATTCATTCAAGGAACCATCAATAAAATTACCATTTCATGCCCACAATTTAGGTTATTTAAAAGATTTCCAGGGAAGTGGGAATTAAAGATCTTGACATTTCGGCCTATGGGAAATTTCTTTAGAACCTGTACAGTGCTCCATTCCCGCGCACGCGAGCGTTCTTGCACGTTGCTATAGGGAAACATCCGTGTCTGCAGATGTACACACGCGCACTCTTGACACATTAAGAAAATTATTTCCCCTTTTTTGCTCCTTCGGAGATCATTCAGCAATCTAGCTGCAATATTAGGCTATACCACCGCATTTATTAAGCTTCAAAATCAAGACGTGTCTTTTCTGTCTTCTTCTATAACTATCGATCGATCTATCGGCAAATGTCATTTCAATATGAAATATTTAGGACTCTGGTTTGAACATACCAATTAATCCCGAAGTACAAGCATTAAAACTTCAGAATTATACATATGTTAACCGTATGTCGTAACGTAGTATTAATGATGTAAAAGCCTTACATATTTACTTACAATAAAGGACATTTAAGATATGACTTGTGGACATTTAGCGACAGATAAATACATGCTTATAAAAAGGACAAGGAATTTTCTGTGTGCAGGAAACGTAATTAAAAACGGCTTTAAAATGAACGTGGTCATCAAGACCTTGGAAAAGGCTTTGATTAACAAATTAACGCTCCTGTTAAAATGTGTGTGTGTGTGTGTCAGGTGGGGTGTTATTCTCTAGGATGATTTTTTTGCAGCGTGGTAATACAATACAAGCAATCACTTGAGAAAGACACAAACCAGCAATTAATGTTATTTCGATGTCAGTAGTGTTTACGTAGAAATACCAATGCACGTATTTATCTCTGTCTGAAGACAACATCTACAACTGCTTTTCAAATCAGCTATGAACACAGAGGCGTATACGTTCATAAAATCTATATCATGGTATGTAGCATGTTATATAATATCATTAATATGCATTAAGCACAAATTCTCATCTATGCATGACTAGTGCATATTATAATTGTGACACTGAGTAAAAAGCCGTCTTTGTGCAGGGAGCACAGATTTCCCCCTCCACCCCATTTTAAATCTGCATGCATTCTGGAACATTTGCATATATGCTAATGCGCATTAATTGCATGTCTGATGGTGGCATCCATGCTTCGTGTTGCGGTGCACCATTTTCGCTCGTTTTCATAATATACAGAGTAGTCTATTACCCCCCAACTGGGGATCACAGACTTCATTTGTATAAAAACAGACCTGTCACAAAAAATCTGCATCATATTCTTTCGGCTCTGCGTTACACATAGCCTCTACGTGTTGGCTACGCTCTCCGACTACACGGCGCTCCTCTGTTATTGAAGCTCAGGGGTTAAAAAAAAACCGGAGAATCGTCTTCCTTTCTCTCACCGTGACATTTCGTATTGGGCTCCACAGCAAGCGCGTCTCGAATCAACCCCCCCATTAAAAAAATCCTTATTTATCCGGTCTTTCTACAATAACAAGCGCGGCTCACACGCACCGAGGGGGGGATACAAGACGCGAGGAAAACAAATCGAACCATAAAGGATCGTTCAAAAGCCATCAAGAGCAGGTAAGCGGGAGAGAAGCGCTCGATTCGGGAAGGCGAATTCTGGCGTCGGTTCCTAACGCAAACAAACAGCAGCCACGCTATGAGAATACCACGGCAGTCTGCTGTTACGTCATCAGAAGTTGTTTGTCCTCTAATGCGGTCATACGGTTGTCATTTCGTGTTGGGTCCAAACATTTCTGCTGTGTGCACCAGCGCTGCACTGCTTTCTCATTAAGAAGAGAACAAGATATTTGTTGTTGGTTTTTTTTTTGTGGTATTTTAAGGGAAAGGTCGCGCTTTCGGAGGTATCTACGGTTAAAGACAAAATGTGGGGGAAAAACGGCAGGAGGAAAAAGAAAAACCCAGGCATTGGTCGTTGAATTAGAATAATGACTTCTGCGCTTACTCGGAGTTAATAAGCAATTGAGGGGAAAAAAATTGGTTGTGTTGCTACCGTAATCAGGGAGGGGGCGGGGTAAGACGGGGTTTGGCTGTCGAAGAGGGCGTGTTAGCAGCTCCCGCCGAGTCCTGACAATATGGACAGATTTGCCGGAACAAAAGAGGACTAGGTTAGGGTTCTGAACACGTCTCGGGATCCAGGCTGGGCGGACAAGGGGTTCAATTTATTGGATGTGGTGAGAAAATTCGAAAAGGAAAGGGAAAAAAAAAGCACATGAAAGAATTGCATTGTTGATCGCGAGGGGGGGGACCGGGCCAAACGTGAGTATCTTTATTTCAGACGCAAGCACGCAGAGATAATCGTTAGTCCGCGGGTAAACAAACGCTGTACAGTACTAGCGAACAGAGTGGAACTGAAAGTTTGGACAAGCGAGCTTGCGTGTTTTTTTAAAAAAAAACTACGGGTGAGGCGGAAAGGGGGCTACAATCGAGGTCTGTCTTGCAGAATCCAGTCGTTGTCGTGCCGGGGCCCCGATCTGTAGTGCGATCGAGTGCACAGATGGTGTGCTACGGACTCCGCGTGCCGCAGCTGAGTTCACCCCACCCTCGCGCCTGACTCGCGAGTGTTGACCAGAAATACTTGCCAGTTTCTCTTTGCAGTTGTTCGGGTGCGCTCTGTCTCACAAAAGTTCGGAACAAATGCCACAGCGTTCGCGCCACATCACAATGCCTACGAATGCTAAAACGATTTTGCCTCATTTGACGAATTTCGAATTACGACAAGCCTCCAGGGCAAATACGATCTGACTTTTGAACGTCCATTCTGATTTGAGCATATTTTACACCCCCTAACCCTATAGGGAACGTCTCTACACCCGTTTTCTTATCTCTTAGAAAGGAGGCTAGAGCGGAAGCTGGAGCCTATCCCGGCAAGCCACGGGCGCAAGACGTGACTCAGCCAAGACAGGGACACCAGCCCATCACGGGGCAGACACACACTCACACCAGGGGCAGCTTTCCCAGAAGCCAATTAACCGCTGGCCTCAGCCACAATCGTCAATAATGGCTTCATTAAGTACTCATTAATGATGCATAATTATTTTAATGGTCCAATTAGTCATTAATTCCGTGAAAAGCACTCACACCACTCCTGTTAATGTTCTGCTGAGTTCTGTGTGTTTGGATTCTGTGTTGTTCGCAAGTGCAGCTCCGCATGACGGTCCGTGTGTCACAGGGGTCGCGCCCCGGTGTGTGCTGCTCCTCGGGTTCCGGAGCCGGGCTGTCAACTTCTGAACCCCAGGATAAGCACGGTATTGTGCATGCCCTTGTCGGGGGGTGGGGGGGGGGGCTGAAAAGTGGGATAATCGCTTTTGCAAGAGATTAACTTTCTCTTCAACTCCCCCCGGTGTAGCGAGTTCCGCCGAGAAAAGCTCAAGACGTCACGTGATTCCGGGGACTGGTCGCTACGTGGTTGTCACTGTATGGCAGTGCTACTTCAGAAAACACACCGGGTATCGAAACCAACAATTCTAGATTCAAAGGTTTGACGAATAATGTTACCATTAAAGTCTTCCAGGAGAATCGCACGCTGAAAATGAGAAAGCACGATTCGGCGGCACCAAAACCGCAATGAAGAAGACCTACGGGAGGGCTCAGCAGCCGAAACGTTGTGTTTCATCGTTCCGCGCTTCAGCGTGGAATTGTCCTGATTCTGATCTCGCTGTGGAATTGACCCGTGCGTTACTCTGATCTCGTGACGTCCCAGCCAGCGTGAGATGACGTCACTTAGAGTTCAAATTCCGGGCCCAAAGAACGGGTTGTTAAAATGTCATTAAACAGCAGTATCCTTTCGGAACAGTACAGAGTCATGTCATAACACACCGGACACTGAGAGCAAAATCTCTCTTTGGCCCCTGATACCTTTCTAAAGCGGCTGGTCACCGATTTAAAGCCTCTGTCAGGAGATCTATTGGCGACGCTTTTTTCTCCTTTTTAAAACTCGATACAATCGTCAGCTTTGTTCACCTTTTTTTTTAACGAAGTGCAGCCACACCAGTTTATTGTGAGGTGGTGATCCAGGTCAAGCGCGTTGGCGGAGATGCTGGAAGAAGCTGAAGCTGGGCGCTCTGGCCGGGCCGGAAAGGGCGGTTTGCTTCCTGCAGCGAACCCGTATCATTAAAGACTTCAACTCTTTGCCGCGGCGGGACAGGCCGCAGATGTACCGGGCGTGGTGTTAGGTGCGTGGATCAGGGCGGACCAGTACAGCAGGGTAACGGGGTTTGTAGAGGAAAGGGCTTTGCACAGTTCTCATTGCGGCGATCTGGAGTGCTTAACCGAACTCATCACTCGGACAGGCACCTTGGTCTTTTTAAGGTCTTCCCTACCTGCTGGTTGAAAGCTTTGAGAATTGAGTTCTTGTAAAACCTGCGGGGTCTCCTACCCCCAAGGCGTCCGCGCTGTCCGTCGGGAGTGTGAGGACACTATTTCGTGGTGCCGAAAGCTCTGCTGGTACAGACGCGGATTGCGAGCTTAAAGAAACAAGCGAAGGTTTATTCCTGTGCTGAGAAGAGAAGAAAAGAAACACAACGTTTCGGCTGTAGAGACTTCTTCGGGTGTGTCACAGCCGAAACGTTTTGTTTTCTCTCTTCTCTTTTCAGCATGGAATAAACCTATTACTTGTTCACTTGTAGCCTACGCCTGCTGACGCAGCTGCCCACCTGAACTACTTGCGAGCTCAAAGCCCAGATGGGAAACTTCAATATAGTACCTAGCTACAAATGCGAGTATTTTCTGATCGAAGCGTATAGTGAATTCATCAGTAATACACTCGTTTTGGGGATACCAGTCCTATCTATCTAACAATTCCATCAGTTGCTACTGTATTTCGTAAGCCACAACATTCTTATTATCTTCGTCTGAAAAAAAAATCACTGAAACTCAGCTAAATGATCGGATTAAACAGAATGGAGATGTGCATAGCGTTCTTTAGGCAAAAGTACAGTTTTAATAATAATAATAATAATAATAATAATAATAATAATAATAATACTTTAAAAAGGTTTAAAATGACGAAAGAGCGAAGAAATATCCCGATGTTCCGCCCAGCTGTTATTTCCGGTGTCGTCAGTGATGGTGTACATAGTCGGGTCCTATAGTTCGACTCTCTGACCCACACTCCTAAACTTAAGTCTGCTTTCACGTCGTGCAGCAGGAACACGTCCCGCCCGAGTGTACTGCAAAAATCTGGCGTCGACTGAATGACTGAATGTGTACAAACCAGAGCACATTTCTTCGGCTACGCCTGTGGCTCAGCCAGTATCAATGCTAATTTTTTAAGTTTGTGTTTGTTGTTATTTCCGTTTATCCACCTGATTCTGCTGACGCTGCCGAATGAATTTAAGCACGGGCACCAAACGTTTTGCTTTTAAATCCCTGGTTATTGTTTTGTTTGTTTGTTTCGCAGGACTGATGTAGGAAAGTGCCGGCTACAATCCACGCAGAACCGTGAATGTAGTAACCCTCCCCCGCCCACTCACACCCACACAGACTTTAGAAAGAATTCTAAGGAATCCGTCACAAACGTGTTGGCAAACGACGCTGGCATCGAAAATGGCCATTTTCTGAAAATCTCACCAAAACAAAATCGTCAGATGGAAACACAATAAGTTAGAGACGCTCTATCTTCGCCCGGCTCTTTGCCTTTTTCGCTGGAAAATATTCCCTTTTTAAGGATAAATGTCCCCGCTGCAGCATTACCTTTACAACGACAAAACCTTCAGCACTGCAAAGCAGTCGCACGGAAAGAGAGCGAATTGTGTCTTAAGGCCAAATGAAAACCGCTCGTCGCATTAAGGGGATCGAGGCCTTGATATTCGCATGACAAAACCGTAGTTTCCTGTAGCTGGAATTATTTCATCTACGGCAAGCCTTTAAATTATAACAGGCGGGGGAAATGAGAAAACTTAAAACGAGACAACCATCTTTCATGTTCTGCAATGTGCGTCTTTGCGCTTTATTTTGTATTTGAATTGATTTGAACGTACAGAACCTCACGAAGGATACGTCCGCGCTAAAGGGTCTATTTAAACCACAAAGAGCGGTCTCTTATCAATAATATCAAGAGTATGCGGATCGGAATCGACTCTATAGCGGAGATAAGACTCTAACAGCGGAGTGAAATTGTTATTCCATTAGTGTACAACAAGAAAGAAATGCGCGTTTCTCCCGCTGATTAACTCGGCACATTTGCGATTTTATTTTGCCAGGAATCGGGAATATAGGAGGAGAGGTTACTGAAGCCAAGGATATGGGTTAGGGTTATAGAGGCTACGAAAACACACACCTGATTGAGAATCAACTCATTATTGTCTTCTCTTGGAGAAGATCATTAACTACTGCACTGTACGCAACCTACCTGTAGATAACTTATTAACAATACAAATGAGCAGTCCTATCTGTTGGCACCGCACGGGAAGCTCGATCGGTGTCTGTTGTTAAAGTAGGCAAGTGTTTAACTGCAAAGGAACAAGTAATAGGTTTATTCCTGTGCTGAAAAGAGAAGAAAGAAAACACAACGTTCCTGGCGTGGAGCCTTCTTCAGGTGTGTACACCTACAGCACACGTGACGATCTCAGCAGCCTCCAGCTTTGTTTACTGTCTATGGATCACAGTGTCTCTGCGATCATGCGATCGCGACCATGTGGGAAAATGATCAAATGCAACATATGTCTGTATATAATATGTGTATTTGTTCATGCTGGGTTAGCTATGTAAAAACAACTGTCCCAGCGCACTAGGCTGGGAGGTGCATATTGTGTTAATGCTAAGATTAAAATATCCGATCTGGTTTCTGTTACACCGCTGGGAGAAATACAATTTACTGTAGAATTACACTGGGTTCCCATACTGCGTCTGGTGTCACCGGGGTGTCCGCAGACTCGGCCCCTGTACAGAAATGTTGACGTTTCTCGCAGCTCCACGTGCTCGCCCTCTGCGTGTTTCTGGACAGGTCAGGAGCACGTGAGCTGATGGCTAGCCAGCGGGGCCGTTTCACGGAGCCGCCCCCCTGGGAGAAATCGGCGACCTTTAACGACTGGAATAATCCACAAGGCGTCTTTATTCTCTAAATTACAGACTGCCGGGAAATGTTGTCCGAATTTTTTGCCAAGTTGCAGACTGTGATTTGTTTCAGAGTTCGTATTAATTCACAGTCTACAACGAGCTGGTGAAATACTCCCGTGCTCACCTGTTTCACTTATTTCATACCCTGGTTATACAGAGGAATGAGGGACGGGTACGTGTTCAGCGCTGTTCGCTTTCAGACGTCGCCGGAACACAGCCAAAAGCCACTCGGGAGAGCCGCGGTGTCGGCAGGCGTCTGTACTGATCGCTGATCCGCCTTTTTTTTTTTAAGGGAAAAAAAAAACCCAACCGACCTGGCTGACAAGCCGACAGGCACGGTATTGTCGTCTGGCGGTGTTGCTGGAATAAAGATATTGCACGCGATTCGCATTGCCAGGCGAAGGTTTTTGCGACTGGTAAATCCGCGATATTCAGACAAGTTTCTGTTTTTCAGACTCGGTTTCTTGGCAACGCACGGCTCCTGGGCGATTGTGAGCGGGGGGGATGGGGACGAGGCTGGATTTGGGTTCGGGGGGTGGGGGTTGATAATGAACTTGAGACATCACACCGCAATTCAGAAGTCTCCTGTCAACTTCGGTGCGTCCGAGTTCCCAGGCGTCTTTTTTTGTATTGGTTGGGTGGGGGTGTGTGTGTGTGTTAACGAAGCCATTGTGCATTATTCTCAACTCTAGACTCTCCTCGCCGCCTGCCACAGACCGACCCGGACCGCCCTTGGTAACCAAGTCTGCCCCGCTCTCTCTCCGCCAGGGGTGGACTTCACCCGGCTTAGACGAAACACGAAACAGTAGCCGTATGTATATGTATAGGAACAAAACAAAACAACAAAAATAAATAAATGGGGGGAAAAAAAACCCCGTCCACGATCAGAGAGAACCCAAGACTGAGTCTGGCTAAGTTTTCTCTTTGGCCGTCGCGCCTCCTATTGAACAAGTAAATGTATTCAAAAGAGATTTTCGTCGCCGAGATGCGATTATTATGATAATCAGCCGCGCCAGACCACCCCCCCCCCCTCCGCCCCGCCTGTCTGAACTCGGCGTTGACCGCGGAGGCGCACGCTCTCACCCCGCCGACCCGCGCATTCCTCCGGGCCCCCGCGAGGCTCGGGGGGGGCTCTCTGTGACCGCGCGCGCCGTGCCACCCGTCAGAGGAGCTCGGGGGCCCGGAGTGGCGGGAAGGCCGCCGCCGCCTCCTGCCGGAACGGGACCGATGTGTCCGGTCGGGCCGCCTTACAGCCACGGCCCTCGGTGTCTCTGAGCACCTCCGGCTAACAGGCGAGAAGAGAGAGAGAGGGGAAGACTGTGGGGGCATGGAAAACTGGCACAAGTGAAACGGTCAATAACAAGGCAGTGACACAAAATGGACGCGGGAGATGGGCAGCTTGTTTAAAGTCGAAGGGTGTGGTGGTGGTAGCGGCGGACGGACGGACAGCTCCCAGTAGAACAGAGAACAGAGACCGACGGACGACAAAATTGAAGGGGGGACACTGTATTGGAGGGGTTGGCAGACGCTCGCTGTCTTCCAGGGGGAGGGGAACGTCACCGCAGCGTGTCGCGAAGAGGGCGGGCCTTGCGCGCCTTATATGTTGTCGGTTTAACATAGGTGCGAGTTCACACGCAGCCGTCTAGTGGGGAGGACGGCGGCGGCGCAGCAGCGGAGGAGAGAGAGGGAGAGTGACACCGGCTCTCTCGCTCGCTTTTTCCGGGAGAGGGCGGGAGAGAGGCTGTGGTTGTGTAGGTGGGGTGCGGAGTGGACGGTGTCGGATGGGAATTAATAATCATGTCAGGGGGGGGGGGGTTACCCGGACGGGAAAAGCTGAATGGACAGGGCCGCTGTGACGTCACTGCCCGCCGCAGGCAGCCGGCGCAAGACAGGCGGAGGGACGGCACGAGAGCTGGCAGTGCTCACGGACCGCTCGGCCCGCGCGGCTCGGCGCCGGTTCCTGTCTCCCCCGGAGCGAGCGGGATACGGTAAGTACGGCTTCAGGACCGCGAAATTAGACCTCTCTCTCTCTATATACACACACATGTATGTATGATTTCTTTAGCACGTCCGTACGCGTGGATATACCGAGGATATTGTAAATGAATGATTTAAAAAAAACATCACCGGCGCCGTTAGGAAAAGTGGTACTACAAGACGGCAGGACAACCACGACGAAGGCGAGAAAAGCAAAAAACGCAAAATCCCCCCTCTTTCCTCCTTCCTCCTTCCTCCTCCTCCTCCTCCCCTCCTGCTTGGCTCCTTTCAGCTGGAGAGCGGCAGCGTCGCCGTCCGCCCTTTTCGGCCGGGAATGTCGCGGTCCGGCTCGGCTCCGCTCCGCTCGCCGCTCCGGGCTGCAGCCGCGGACGAGAAGCGAATATGTGTCGCTGCGTTTTTTTTACTCCCGTTCCCCCCCCCACTCTTCGCCTTCCCCGCACCTGAACGCCGTGTGGGGCGAGGAGGAAGCCGGAGTGCAGTTATTTTTCACAACCCCCCCGCAGTCAGGAAATGGGGTCGAAAATGGGGTGTAAGAGGAAACGCCGGTTTAATCTTTCCCGTTCAACCCCTCCTGTCCGCTTCTTCCTCTGCGATCCGTCTTAAGTTGGGGCATGGAGGCGTGTGTGTGGGAGAGAGAGAGCCCCGGGTCGCTCGGATGGCTGCACATGTATCTCCGAATCCCTCGGTGACAGGTCGGATTTCTATACACTCGTGATTCCTGCTCTTGAGATTTTGTTTTTCCTCCATTCTCCTTACAAGAAGGAGTGTCGAGCGGGCTTGAAGGCTTTTAAATGCTCGAGCGGGGGATTAAAGTCCCCCCCCCCGTACTCAAACGTACACACACGCATAACCCAGTGACAGTCCCAGTGCCTTCTTCTCCGGCAGATCACAGCGGCACACTCGCTCGGAACCCACGACATGCTCGTCTTTTTAACAACTGCAAACGCAAGTAGCTTAGGACAAAACAAACAAAAAACACGAAGCTGTGTTTATGGTTTCTCTCTCTCTCAAGCCACTGGGTTTCTCATCTACCGTGTGGAAAAAAAAAGAAATAGCCGTGGAAATTGTGCCGCTTCATTTGTATCCGTCTGTATGCGTGCGGCTGAGCAGGCTCATTTCTTGCTCCTGTCGAGTTGATCTCGGAAGATATTTCTCAATCTGTTTTGGTTTTCTCCCCCCCCAAAGATTGGCGTCGTTCAGGGTGCACAATTAGTCCAATGCAGACTCGTTGACCGGCCTCCTTGAAAGCGAAGCCACTTTGAGCTGAACGGTGGTTTCCCGCAAGGCGTCTCTGGTACAGGGTGTGAGCCCAGGAGCCTGGGCCCAGAGCAGCCGGGGATCCCAGCGCAAAACCAACGGATCTTTCTAGCAATTCAAAGGCGTGGAGGATGGCCAGGCTAAGCCCGGGTTGCCTGCACCATTTCAGGTGGCACAGGGTTATCTGGAGTAATATAGCGCCAGATACCGGCCACCGTCTGAACGGTGCCATCAGTGCAGACTGTAGGTGATGTCACCTACACATATTCCAACAGAAGTATCCCGAAAATGCAAGAGTCAAAAAGCCTTGCATTCCTTTATTAAAAAAGGGATAATTTAAAGTGTAGAATAATGTCAGAAATCTGCAAACGGTTTTAACGTGATGTGTGTACCCACCGTGCAAGGTGACTTTTTGTGTGCAGGCACCGAAGTTCTGTAGAAGAATTTACACGAGGTGATGTACGAACTGATACAGCGACGTGCGGATGTAGGAAGTGCTTTTTTTTTTTTAACGAAACAACTTTGAACGCCCTGACGCAAAATCCAGTGACATTGAAGATCTTAAAACGAGCCTGCGTTTCGTTCTGGATTTCCAGGCCGGAGAAGTTAAGCTCGAGTCTACGCGTTTTGGAGTATTGTGGGATGAAAAAAAAAGCAAATGACTTTTGCTGACCTGCTTATATAACACGGGCGTAATCTGCCTTGAGAATTTAAAGACATTTTTTTCCAAATATTTTCGGCTTTTGTAAGGAAGGCACCACACTGCGGAGCTTTCAACAACAAAGGCTTGTTTTTTTTTCTGTGCGAGGAGAAATGTGAAATACGGCTGTATGCGCGTGGACCCTCAGCTTGCTCTTTCTGTGTTGTATTTAAATATTTCAAAACCATTGCAATGCATCGAACGCGGTAAAACATCTAAGATAAATTTCCCCCTTAATTTATTGTCTAATATATGGCGTGAAATATTACTTCTTTGGTTATACTATCTTCGGTTTAAATTTTCGGTGGACGCTCTACGGATTCCAGTGTAATAATAATAATAATAATAATAATAATAATAATAATAATAATAATAATATTTATTTGCACAAATAAATAATGATTTTAATCCCCTCAGCCACGGGGTGGTTCGCTTTAATTACTGGAAGTGTTAGGAAGGGTATTACCTGATTTTGAATTAAACCTTTCTAATCAGATTAAGGAAACTCGTGGGCTCGGTTTTTACTGCCAGCGCTGCCCTCGCTCATTCGTGAAGCATTTCAGCGACGGACTGCCCTGAAACGAAACGTTGGAACCTCTTTTTTTAATTAATGATCAGAAGAATCGCCGAAAATCCAGGCCCGATTGGGACACAGTCTAAGTCAAAGCCACGCAGTCAAAGAATAGGAATATCGTAAAAAAAAAATAGCCCCCGTCTCTCCGGTGTACACAACAACAGCACAGCACGTCTTGTAATGAATGAACTCTTTTCACCGACACTGTGTGTACACTTACCAGCACTACACAAGCCTTTGAAATTCGGGCCCATTATGTGTTTTTTTTTAGAACAGTTTTAGAAGGAAGACTCCAGGATTTGCATTACATTTGTGCTCGTGTTTCAGCGCGTTTTGTTAATCGTTATGAATTGCGGGCCTCAATTCAAAGGAATTGAATTACGGTGATTTATTCTCTTAACTGTTAAGCGGGCGCCCAAGTGTGTGTTTTAAAGCGCGTAGTAACTAAGGCATCAGATATAAGCAAATGCAACGAAGAAACATCAACCAGAGGTGAGACAGCGAATTACTGTGAACACTATTTGCTCCGACCGTTTATTTAAAAGGTGGCTAACCGATCTTGTGCTAACGGCCATGTTTCACGTAGCCGGGCAGAAACAGCCGATCACATCGTGCAGCTCCGGGAAGAGACCCGAAATGGATTAATTCCCGGTTAATATCCACCGAAGTGACAGCAGAACCCACGCTGGCTGGTGGGGGATTTTATCACGGCCAATCTTGACGCTCTTTTTTTAGAAAAGCAGGGTTCCTATTTGTTTTTACTGTGTCATCGGGATGGGATGGAGTTTTTATTTATGGGTGGTAAGAAGGTAACAATTTACTTTGGATGAATCGCGTAAAGTCCTTACAATTCGCAGTTCGATCCTCTACCTAATGTCACGACGATAATCATAACGTCGAAGCGGAGCCTAGTATTCGTGGGTCTCGTAGGTGACGTATTGACTTTTTGAATTTGGAATATCATGCAAAATAAGAGCTGAACAGAATGGGACCTTAAATCACATCGACTGGTTCGAGCAAGTGGTTTATATTACAGCGAAATAATGCATGTAGCAACTAGAAAGCAACCGTGATCCATGTTGCGAAAGTAAAACCGCACGAAGCTGTGTATGCACGCGTTACTGCCTGCTGTGCACTAAGGCGTGTGTCTCTATCCCGTGGGTTGTCATTCTTCAGATCTGCCCTAAACCTTTTTTTTTCTTGGTGCTCCGTGGCCTTTCAGTGCTTCATTGCACTATCCGGGTAGCGTGAACACCGTCAACAACCGTCAGAAGATATTTTAAACGAATGCAGTGGGTCTCAATACAATTACAGGCTTTGGATAGGCCCAGCGCCTTGAGACGCTGTGGTCTTGACACTGTTGATGCGTCATGGCCAATGCCAGCACGTGGTTTATGGATCTCGGCCCGCCGGGCTCCGGTGTGAATGGTCACAAAGGCTCACAAACTGGACTTCAGGTTTTGTACTGTCTGGAGTGACGCTGTATATTACAGGTTTGGCCATTTCCCTTATCCGAGCAGACTTCTCTCCATCTTGGAAACAGGCTAATGCACGCCACAGAGAAGCGCATGCGCGGTGGCACGCTGACAGTAATTTCTTGCTGTTTTTTTTTTCCAGCCTGGCTGCCTGGGCTCGATGCACGCCAGACCACGTGATTCAGGTAATGTTTTTTTTTTAAATTCTCCCTTTTGCCAATATTCATTTTTGAATTTTCTATAATCACACGTACCGCATGTCTTTATTGTGAGACACTGTTATGTTTTTCTATCGCTACCGCATCCTTGCTGTACAAACGCAACCCACCCCTCCTCATTACAGCATTGCAAGAAGCCCTTATATTTATGTCAGCGGCGTAGTTACATATATACGTATTTCTTGTAATACCACAGAATACCATTTTGTTCCCCCGTACAGAAGCCTAATGCAGATCTGCATACAATCCATATTTTTCCACGGACACCTCTTTCCCAGCACTTAGGTATACAGTATGAGATCCTATAAGTCTGTTATGCTTTCTGGTACGTAAAAGGGTGTTTTGACATTTCCAGCCTTCGCTGAAAATATAAGACAGTAGGCCTTTTCCGACACAGTGGTGTGATAAGCTTCCTTAAAAAACTGAAATCTGTGTATAGCCTGTGGAGAAAGAGGATAACGACATTTCCAATGAAATGACAAGGGGTTGTGTATATACTTGAATCGGGGAATCTACCTACTGTGACAGAAACTGGCGGCTGAGTTCTGGGTGCCCAACTCGAGGTGCGGCACGTCGGAAACTCGGAGATCACTTTTCAAAGAGTTGGACGTCTGCTGACGTTTCCCCACCCGTTTGCTCAATCAAATGACCAATTGTGTTTAAAGTAGATGGAGAGGAAATGTGGAAAATGTCTGAAAAAGAGATCAGGCTGTTCGGGGGGTGTTTTCAGCAATCAATTAAAGGTGTATTCGTAACCGTGGGTCATTCTGTGCCGCTTGTTCATAATTTCGCAACACAGAGTTGGTCGGCAAGCGACAGATCCCAGAGTTTCGAGATTGCGGTTGTCTTCTCGATATTCAAGAAAATGTCATCATAACCGTTTGTAAAGAAATCACTTTTTACACTAAAGGCGTCAGAAGCGTCGCTTCGTCAACGAAATCTCTTGATATCGAAAGCTTTTTAAAAGGCATGTTTGTCGGTGGATTCGAAGTTTTTGGGATTTGGGAAAATTAATATGAATTTTAAAAGATGGCCATGGCTAAAAAAAAAACAATTAAAAGCCTCCAATCCGGGCACGGCCTTTCCAGAAGTCGTTCCGCCATCAGATTCAGCGTGTAACGTAAATAATACGTTTTGTTTTCCGAATCCATAGAAATTTTAAAGTTGTTACAAAAAGTCGTCTTCACTTTTTCACTGTTGAGTTAAAAGACCTTTCCTAGTTTTGGAAAATAGCCTGTAATACTTATAATACTGAGAAATAAGCGACAGATCAACTTGTCTTCAGCTGCGTTTGGGGATATACAGTATATGTGACAGTGACTGAGCAGACGTCATGCCAAAATAGACTTAAATACCTAACAAGTATTTAATTGTGAAATTCGAATTTTCCTTTGTTGTTATAAATGTTGTATTTTTACAACCACTACATAATTTCACGATATATATATATAAAATCGAAGTTGCTGTTCCTAACTTGTTGATCCTCAAGTATTTACAATATTTTTACACATACTCTTTCTTCTGATTTAAGGGTTTTTACACGTCAATATGGAGGTCTTCCAAAACATCTCACTGAAATTTTTAAACCTGGGTAACCACGAGTAATTTTATAAAAGGAAATATTTTATAAATCATATAATAAAATAATAAATAATCATAAATCCTCTCCAAATACACCATCAAGTAAATTGAAACGTGGACAATAATACTATTTTATTTTTTTACACGCCAGCAAAACTCCGATTTAGGATTTATTTCAAAGTACTCTTGGTGTGAAATATTGCGCAGCCCGAAATTCTATTGGTGAATATTGAGAAAGATACCTATAACTGATTATATATTACACATATATATATATCTACACTAAATTTAAATTGTTTTTAGTTGTTCTGAAGCATTCCATCTTACAGTGTCTTTTTAATTATTCTGTATCACTACTGTCAATTCTTACTGTGCTGAAAAATAATGTAATTTTAACCCCCTCTTCCCATGAGCAACCTATAATTTACATTTCAGCTGTTTGGGGAAAAATAAAAATAAATAAAACTTGATGAGCAAATAAAACCTAAAAGATTGTGTTCTAAAGGTGGCGACCTGTCGATACAAATACACCTTAATCGTTTCTCCGAAGTCGAATGAAGAAAAGCCGAGGCATTTCTTTTTGGCGACCCTGAGCTTCGATTTTGTTCAAAATTAAAAATCGTTCTTCCGCCGAATAATCTGTAGATAAAGAATGAGGATGATGGTGATGACGGTAAATTGAAATAACTCTTGGTTCGTGTCCGAGTCGAAGCCAAGGGGCTTATTTTGTCATTGTTAATTTGAATTAGTTTCACTTAGACCCATAGCCTCAATACACACTGTATATACGTCGAACTCGCATCGGATGCGCGTTGATCGCAGTAGGTGTAGACGATAAAACGTAAATTTCTCGGTATTTGTAATCTATGTATGACATACTTCACCCACGAGTTTAGTCTTTACCGTGCTTATTTCCCGCGTGTTTTCTCCTCGTTTTGGGGGGGGTTTAGCCCAGGTATGCCCATAGAAAGAGGGGTGTTCTCGGGAACGGGCGATTTAATCGGCTCTCTTACTGGACTCCGCAACCCTCCGCCTTTCTTGAATCTGACGTACAGCGCCATCGATAAACTGAGAGGCGCGCCGGGGTTAAAGACGTCAGCTCAGCCCCCCCAACACAACCCCCCACCCCAAAAGAAAACCACATCACCAGCGGCTGGCCAATAGCGAGCGGGGATTAGGCGGAGGAGGAGGATGAATGAAACGAAGCTTCAGTCGGCGGCTCAGTGCGCGAGCCGGCGGCCCGCGGAGAGCGCCGCCAAGCGCGAGCCCGGCTTGACCCGTCCCTGACGCACCGCGCGCCCGAGACCCCCGCCGTGGCTCCCCGGAGACCAGCGGTGCAGCACCCGCGTGCCGCTTCTGTCACACCCCCAGGCGTCCCGCGAGCCCTTCCTGCCGCCTGCGGTCTGCGCCCACGGTAAGCATGATAGCGATAACGATAATCAATACATCGACTGAAAGACCGAATTGTAGAAGAACTCCAGGACATACCAGCATATATTTAAAAGTGAACCTGTGCAACATTAAAATTGCAGTAATTTCTTTAAATGCTTGCATTCGCGGCGGATGATATTTCCTACAAAAGTGAGATGACTGGGTTAGCCAATGCCGGCGCTCAGATAATCGTTAACCACGATTCCGTTTCTCCCGGGTGCTGCTGTGACCAGCGAAACATTAAACCAACTGATGGTCGTCAAAGAGTATGCAACTGTGCTGCGGGAAACGAAAGGGTCGCCTGTGTTTATTTTCCAGAAGATGAATTGGTCATTACGGTGCGATTGGAGCGCAGCACGCTTCTGCCACCCCGCGCGCTCTGTGTGTGTGTATGTGTGTGCGCGCGCTCCGGGGTGCTGTCCGCGGCTCTGCGGTGCTGAAACCCGCGAGCTGCCTGCTCTCGTCTTCTATCAATCCCCTCCGCAGCTGGTTTCAACACACACTCAGCCGCCGGGACTCACGCACGCACACATTTGAGACAGTTCAGAAGATAACCGCTCACCACGCACCGAGTCCAATCTGTTCCTTCACAGATCTTTTTATCGTTCTTTAAAGTCGACGTCGAATTACAGAAACGTAATTTGTCACATTACGTTCAAACCGCGTCCACACACGGTTACAACGTTGCATGCTTTACCATCATCATTATTAGTAGTAAAATAGGAAGATAAAATGTTTCATTGGGAGAGTATACTATTCAAGCACTAATGTGTTGTTGGTTTTTTTTCCCCCAAGTATCAATCGCACATCTCTATAATATTTTGTATTGCTCGTTTTTGGGAGCCATTTTTAGTGCTCCTGATAACTGCAGGTGTCATTTCGGGCCCTCAGAACTACACCTTCTTGAAATGCACTATCATGACGAGAGTCCCGGGTTAATTCTAACTAAAGCCAAGTCCTGAGCACACGTGGGCCGCAGAGATCAGGAGCTGGGGAGGGCGACAGGGCGCAACACAGGAGATCAGCAGTCCGGATGATTAATTAATTAGTTTATTATTATCATTATGAAATACTCCCCCAGAAAGTAAGGCCCCGTTTTTTTCTCGGTGAAAATGCCTTTGGAAACGACTGTTTGTTGCTCTGTGGTAATGTTTTTATTTATTTATTTTTTACCGCAGAAAGCTGAAATGTTAAATCTTCCGGCACCGAATGTTTAACCCTGTTCTTTGGTGATATTTTTAACTGAGATGCAATTGCTTCCATGATGCGGGACACGGCAGATATCTTTTTTTTTCTAAGTGTAAAAACAGAATACGATAGTGTAATGCTTTTGCGAGAAAATAGAAAAAAAAAGCAATTCTATGTCTTATGTCTGCTTACTTTATAAATAAATTATACATTTATAAAAATAAAATAAAAAAAGAAATACATTTACGTAATACATACACGTTTATACAGTTGTGTTCCAATATTTCAATTATCCAAATACTTTTTTTTCCTTCTAAAGGAAAATAAATGCATAAATCCACATTTTAAACAGATCGCTTTAGAATAAGTAGCAAAGCGAAATGGCAGTAAAGCAAACGCTTCTGTGATCCTTCGGACAGTCATTTCATCATTCGAAATGTTGGTTCGACAATAAAGACAAGAAAACCCTCGATCATTAATTGATTACCCTCAGATCAAAAGAAATACACGGATAGAAACGCACTTGTCAGTATGTAAGTTTACACACAGAAAGGTCCTGTAGGTAATTATTATCAATTAATTTTGTTTAATCCTATAATACTACTACAGGGATATTGTAAATTTATGTTTAGTTGTACTTCTACTCTTTTACAAAAAATCCTAAGTAAATATGGTTTTGTATTGAAATCTACATTAGCATTAAAAATACCTCTGCATTAGCTGAATGTTGAAGTATGTTCACTGAAAAACAAATACCGATTTAACGA